TAGCCACCCAGAAGCATTTGTGTAGACTAATGTAGACCTGAGGGGGTTCTAGCGGATCTTGAAAATATGAGGCCTAGTAGTGGTACCAATTTGTGGCCTTTACAACAGGAAAAACAGTGCCTACTTTGAGACTTTGCCATTTACGTAGATGTACTATGTGTTCGCACAAACACTAAATTAAGCTTCCAGGTCAAACTAGATCACAAGTTCTGTACGCTTTAGGCATTTGGAGGCATTTTGGTAGAACAATAAAACATGACTGCGACTTCTAGATAAAGTATCATCATACAACAGTACTTCGCTCCATGGTTCGCATTGTCCCATAGGAATGACATTTGCAACGCTTGGAACAATCTTTGAATCGATCGAAAAGTCATAGATCCTAAAGAGTTTGTCAGATAATTGATGAATTTCTGCGAATCTCTAAAGCTTCGGCTTCAGACAGTTTAACGCCATATGAAAGAAGTCTATTTAATTCATTAGACTCTACTAGTGCTTGCAAAGTCTGACTAGCTGAAAGATAAACACATACGTAGACTGGAAACATCGATTGAGCGAACAAATCTTTTTTGAATGCTGGAAAACTAGTAGTTTTGGCACCAAAGCTAAGCTCTGAGTTCGTTCAGGTTTCAGATTAGAGAATTTCTGAGTGGTTTCAAAGCTTTTGGATCGATATGTTAGAAGTACAGAGCAATGACCTGTTGGTCCTTGTAGTGTGGTAACGGTTTGCATTAGTAAACTATAGCGTTTAGTCGGTTTTGAAAATTTCTCTGCCATGAAAGTGAAGGAACCTTAATCACGGTCCAAAGAGCGGCGGAGGGTGTTACCTGCTCATAACTGGTCGGTAATATCATCGATACCTGTGTAAGGCCAATGTTGGCATGAACAAGCACTATCGTCAGAATAGCTGTTTTTTACTAGTGTGCGATTAAGATATTAAGATTCCATTCTCAAACGATCTACCCTGAAGCAAAAATCGAAAAATTGGGAGGTTGAAGTTGACTGAACATCCCAACCAAAACAGCTAATCTCACTGTTCCAATGTTTGGAGTTACCAACAACTTCATAATTCACAGGTTAGAGGGAACAGCTGCAAACCAAAAAGGTTCTTCGTCAAACCTACCCACGCAATTTCAGTTTCTCTTGTCTGGGTGGTTGGAGGCTACCGGAATATCAGCCCCTGTACTTATTTCCGATCGCACGGCACCCGTGCACCAAAACGGTGCCACTGTTGGGTTTTATTTTAGGGACTAGTAGCATCCAGAAAAGCTCATGATCTGGAGCGTCTGAATTATCTGCGAATGGATTAGACTTTCCCGGTGTCACAGTTTTTTGCCTCCAGTGAGCTACACTAGAGGGTGTGCAGCATTGAGGAAGCCCTTACATAAACCAAACGGCGATCGACGGCAACACGTCACTATGATATACGGCACGTAACTATCTCATAACCATGAGATAATATCATAGTAGAGTAAAAGGAAAATCGACTGGTTTGGAATGAAAGCAAAAAGCCCTGTATCCTCAAAGAGAGGAGTTCACCCCTTCAAACAGTAATCAAATCATGTCGCATTAAGGTGACCAAAGAAACTGACCCAAAATCCACTGCAACCTTATCCAATATAGGGGTGGATCACAACATAGGCGTTAGCAAGACAGTTCGGTTAGGAAGCAATAGCTCTTTCGCCATCGGGATGGGTCAGGCTCCACATTCTTCAAGGTCTTCAGTCACACGCCTCCCTCTCAGATTCGGGAGCACTGTTCAGACTTCACAAAAACAAAGCTCAAGCTGGTAGGATAGCTGGCTGTTGCATGTGTACTTTACTGGTCCGTGCGGCGGGACCAGTCAAAGAAACTGCCTTCCACCACCTTCCACATTCTACGTTATCCTTTAGGTCATTCGCTTTTACCTAACCCGACGGTCACTCTCCAGAATGCCAGTTCGACGCAATCTTTAACGATGGCTAAGATGGCGAAGATGTTCTGATATAATTCTTGTTTATGTACGATTAGCAAGTAACACTGACTCCCTTATCTAAACACTTGATTTTGTTATGTTGCTTCCTTCTGTGGTTCATTTATCTCATCGGATAACAGCAGGCTTATCTGCTGAATCGGCAGTATAATCTGCTTTGCCTATACCTGCAGTAGAATTTACCAAGGCTAATCCCTAAAATGAGATACATCTTTTTTGAGTAAGGTAGTGGAAGCATTTATGATTGAAACCTCATCTTTACTTTGTAAAGTTGACAGCATTTTCATGATGTATTATGAGCACACGTCCCTACTGCACTTGGAATGCGGGTTGACGTCGCCTTCCAAACCACACATCTTTCATTGGGGATAGATAGCTTGGTCAGCGAAATAGGATGCATAGTTCTTAAACTAATCTACCACTGTGATATCTATATTCGACTTTCTTCAGAATTCCACCGAGTCGCCCAAACATCTCACGTACTGTGACACTTGGCAGCTGCTCCTTTCTCCGAGCGTGGCAACTGGCCTGCAAACTTCTCGTCACCATGTGAAGAGGCATCGCTGCGCGGACCGATGAAATGTTTGCAAGCCGATTGTCAGTTTCGGCGAACGGATCAACTGACACCTGGTCATCAGTCGATCAACCCCCAAGCTACCAATATTTAGGCACACTGCCAGTATTGAACTACTTTTATGGATATGAACAAGGAAGAGTAACCTCAGTCAATGAACGATTTGTTTCACTTTTATCTAGAAGCTTAGTTTTCTGCCGAACTTTTCAGGTGTTCTATCCTGGACAATTAGGTTATCGTTTTCACGCAAAATGAGACAAATTTAAGATGACCACAGCAAACCCGGCATAATTCATCAAAACCATTCTGTTGGTCGGGATGTCAATATTGGGGATCTCTTTCCTAAGACCGTTCTCACCTAGGTTGTAGGCTGCCTGTTTGATTCTCATCTCACCGATCTAGTTTTCGCCAAGTCCTGACTATGCGAAATTCTTACGATCCTCAGTTGGAACGCTATCCTTCTGTGGTTTTACAGAAGCCAATAACAAAACACTGGGTACTGGTCCACAGCTACTGATTGGTGTGATGACGCTTAATTCTACCAGTCCGAACTGTGCTTAGGCGTTAACCAGTTAAACCAGGCGCACCAGTTTACTCTTCCACTGTCAGATGAACCATTCTTTGGTTTGCGCTGTTTGGGCTCAAATATGTTTTCCAAAGTGGTTTCTGCTTAGGATAGATCCGGAGGGAAATGTAGGTAGAATTTGTGTACTGGTTGTTCCAAACCTAAGGACAAAGACAGACATGTACATGCTCTCTTTCTTTATCTGACTGGCTGTTATCCTAAGCCTCTCTGCTCGCAGCTGTCAGCAATCCCGGACTTACATATTTCAGTGCAACTGGCTTTTCTGCATTTTTAATGCAGTCTCAAACATTCCGTGTATCTGTGGCGCATTGCAGTAGTAAGTTTGGCGCTAACCGAAATGGTTGCCAGAGCATCACAAATTTCCCCGCCGATCGCTAAATTATTGACGTCCGTGCGCTGGACTGAAATTCATCTTCCACCAGAAATCTCACATGGCCCATCAGTTTCCGATGTGCTTACGAAGCAAGTTTGCACTTTCGTTCGGCAATCCGAACCGATAGTTGGTCATGAACTTTGAGGACTTCTTTATTAAAGCTCTGTTAGGACTGGTCATGCAAAATAACCCCTACATTTGAACTGTCGCATCTGTGGTGTGCCGAAGGTAGTCGAGTACAACCTTAACCGACACTCTCGTCGTACCACATAGCCGCTTAACACTAGAACAACCCGAAGCTACATTACCACTCAAACAACTGTGATCAATTTTGACCAAACGTCCCTAAGATTGCAGATGTTATCCAGCAGCGAATTCGCCCATTGTTTCTCAGACGAATTAAGTTCTTATTTCTAATTCTTAAGCACGAAGTGATTCTAAAGAGGTGATTTGCCTACAAACACAGTCTGCTAAAAGGATTCGCGAAGCTCTTCGTTTCAATCAGTCTGCTCTGAAGACTGATCACATCACCAGGAGTGCCCGTAATCCTCCAACATGATCTTACCCCGACAGCTTTGGTATCAATACCAATGGAGTTCCATTGAGCTTAGTCTGAAGTGCTCTTCACAGGCGATACTGAGCAACAGTTTCAAATCTGTTCGATAAGTTACCCAACAACATAACAGGACATATTCTGCGACATGACTTTACTTATAAACGTGAAACACCCTAACAACCAATCACCAGTCCCGACAATTTCAAAACCATCTTAATTTTCAGGCAAATTGCTATCTGGTGTTCAAATTCGAGGAGATTGACGGAAATTCGGGAAACACGCAAACCAGAGTGAAACCGGCAGTTGGTCGTCTAGTAGTTTTCGTTGACTTTATAATCATTTTCATCAAGTGAAATTACTTCGACATATTAAGTATTGTCCCAAATGAATGACGGGGCGGCCTTGTTGAAGAGCGTTGACGGGGCGGCCTTTGTTGAAGAGAGTCAGAAACAAGAGATTCAGTCCGATTTGTGAATCGGGATACCTCCAAGTAAGACGTTTTTGGAATTGCGATTGCTCATAGCACTCCCGCTGTATTGTTTCCCACTTAACCCACAACTATTGAGGTGATTTGATCCGGTTTCAGAGGAAAACTCGTTCTGTCCAATTTTTGTACGAAGGCGAGGCACCATGCAGCTGTCTTATTCTCCCTAATTAGATGCAATCGTCCATCTGTTTCACACTTTGATGGAGACTCAATTTACGTCCGTAAAGTCCATGGAAAATAGGCTGATGGAAATCGGAACCCCGTTCATCCTTACACTTTGACACATCAGTTATAAAAGCATGAAACAGATCTCCACACGTCCGAAGCGACTGATAACGCACAATAAAGATAATAAGTGCAAAGACCTGTACCCCATCACATTGCTATTTCTTAGACCAAAGCTTTGGCCAAAAACCAAGGCCTCGGAAAAGAATTTCAGAATAGACTTGACCGCACTGTTGGAACGAAGACGCTTGTCTTATATCATCCTGCTAAACCACGTAGAGACCGGGTGGTCCGGTACAATGGGTGGGCCAAATGCATGCGTTCCAAAAGGCCGTTATGCATAAACGTGAGTGAAATGATGAACAACACACAGGGACCAGGAAGAGCTGACCGAGCTACCCACCAAATATTCTGTGAAAAAAAGATTCACATACTGGATAGGTAACTAATAGTTGCAGTGAATGCACAAAACTGAGGAAAAAACGAATTTACACAGCGGAATGGTGATTTCGAAGTGTAAAGGAAAGAAACAAAACTCGTTTCCGGACGGTCGATATTTTACCGAATTAGTCAGTGCAAGAGAATGTTCTGGTTGGATGATAGTGAGGTTTAATCGGTTTGGCATGATTCCAGGCCACCAACCATATCGGCTGCCCTAGAAAAGAGGAATTTTGATAAGAAAATGGTGGCACGGGATGGCGAGATTACAAAAGTAAGGCACAAAGCAACAGTGGGTTGAATGATACAAAAGTGACAGGTAAAAAGAAACTGCTGATGCGAACTGAAAAAAGTAAGTGGGAGTTAGGTTGGCAGATTGACGGTTGGTGTAGGAGTCAAATGGAGACTGAAGGGACTCCACTGAAAGTTAGCTCTGGTCCTAGGAACGGGAAGCATCAAAGGTGAATGGAAAAGTAAATGGAAAATGCGGGAGATCCCACACAGTCTTAGTCATGTTTGTGTCTCCAAATCGACAGCAGCCTGATTCACCAAGCATACAACTGGTGTTAAACCGGGAGTAATATCGTGTATCTGACAGTTGAGGTTTGAAGAGTTTGACAAACTAGTCACAGCTTGTTGGTGGGGTTGTGCAGACTCTCGGATACTCGTGGGTGGTTCGGGCTGAAGCCGAATGTATACAGTCTCGGTTGGTTTAGACAGCTTCCCGCTGGGATCACCTGTGGGCTGCAACGTTCCTGATGCAGGAAACGACGCTTGCTCGGTGTTTATTTGCCCAACAGCCTCAGCGTATATTCGATCCCAACCGAGTGGGTAGCGGGAGCAGCAAAACGCAAAACAGTTCCGCGCCAAGCCCTGATCAAATGAGAGCAAATGAAAAATGGGGATTTTTGAGAAATTCTCACAGTGCAAATTTTGATGTAACTTATTCGGTTTATCGAGCACTCAACTAGTGAACCAAGCAAATCACTTTATGAAAACCAACAAAGGAATGGATAGGAAAAAGTACGACAGGGAAAAATGCAAGCTTCGATAAAGCCCAACAACTACCGAGAGTAGGTGACCGTACTTTCTGGCTTGTGTGACTTGATTCAGTGACGGTTTTCCTTCAGCTGCCATCTGCAAGTTGCAAGCTTTTTTTTTCGGGTACGTATGTATCACTATATCACCAAGATTTCTCAGTACACCACACTGCCTCAACGATACGGCATACCTGAAGTCACCAGGTCACGTACAGGCAATATACGCAATGACAGGCAATACTTGCACCGTTGTTTGCTAGGGAAGTGAAACGGGAGGAATCCGATTCGGCTGATGGATGCAAACGGAACTCTTCTAAATTACCATAATAATCGTATGTGATGAGTTTTGGTGACATGAGTGCACCACAGAGGCGATCCCTGGTACACAGACTAGCTAACATGCGAATAGACCAATGCCGAACAGTCATTCTTATGAAGCATTTGATGGACGTCAAGCTGGAAAAAAACGATTTCCTATGCTTCCACTAGACTGAACAACCGCACATGATTGCGCCTTATTTCAGAAGACGTGGCACATACGTGTACGCCTGAAACTCACCAAACGGGGAAATAACTGTGAAATGAAAGGTCAAATCTGCGATTTTCGTTCGACATTTTAGGCATCTGTGTGTATATTATGCAACTCCAGGAAAGTACAAGTAATGAAATAGGGCCAGATCTCCCGGACCCATACAAAGGCCGTCAAAAACCCAGGAGTCGATTCAAACCGAAAAACCTCCCAGTTCGGTACTCGGAACGTATGTCCATCCAGTACAGAGTTACCAAAGTAGGACCAAAATTGCCGTCAAGTGTGTTGTGGAGAATGCAGATACCTTACGTAGAGGAGACGGGAATTTGCAGATTGTTGCACAGGAACCCGAAAATTTAGAATGCAAACAAAAAGATATATAGTTAGATGAATGGATAGATGCGGTATGTCGATCTGGTTGTATTGATTGTGTTTACTTGGGTTGTTATGCCAAGATGTTGTGTGATGGTCATGTGTGTTTCGGTAAGTGGAGGGCATTGAGTTAGACCAGTCCGGCCGCGTGTTTTTGGTGTGTTTGAAGAATATTCTTGTGGTGAATCAAGTCAGACTGGAAGTCAGAGAACTCGATAGTCAGACCTGCTGATATATGAGGGATTCCGCAAAGTTAGTCAGAAGATATGTATTTCGTTAGAACTGACCCAGTAGGTCTTCACAATGAGACCGATGAATCCTATTCTGATTCACTAGCATTTCTTTGGGCTTGCGAAGTTATGGGATTATAGGCAGCTCGGATGCATCGATGCGGGGTTGACTGATGATATCACCTTGATTAGTATTGAAGTGTTGGCAATCCAACTACCGAACACGGTGAACAGACCAGCAAACATTCTTCATGATTTCTCGAGGAAGTAGCTCTTACTCTTGGGTGCACACCTTCAGCTATCCGCTAGTTTGATCAACATAACGGATCAATGACCGGAATAGTCAAACTGAAAGCCTCAAGCTTAAATGGGTTAACTATGCGAACCAGTTGTTTCGTTAGTGCGCAATTGATTTAAAACGTTATCCAGCTGTCAGTGTTACGAAGTTCGAGTCGGATATTATCAGACGGATAAAAAATACTATGTCGATTTTCGGACCGCCTACTCAGGTGATCCAAACAATTGACAGGCTGTGCCAGAACTCCCATAGTGTTTAGCATTATTGCGTGTAGCCTCGCTACAAAAAGACCACTTCGCCGAGTGAACGATTTTGTAGGCCCTGTTGGAATTGTTATTTTAAGCAGATTAGTGTCAAAGTGGTTGCCATTTGAAGCGGACCCGCAACCAAAGGTCATCGTTCTAATTCATGCTTTGTGTTGTACTACCGCCAGCTGTGCAAGGTGTTTAGATATAGAAATAAATAGAAATAAATAAATACATGTTTGATTCAGCAAGAACCGAGGAGAAATAGTTCGAAGTTGGAAAACGCAACACAACCGTTGAATAAACAGGCGGCGTATGCATCGGCGATTTCCAGCCGGAAGGAGCAGTTTGCATATTCTCCTGTCACTTCCAATCGGCTAAGAAACAATGAGGTTCAAAAGATAGAACAATCCTGAAACATATCCGGTCTTCGCGGAACTCTGAACCTCATCGATTAAGGGTAACCACACTACAGACAAACAGCTTATTGGAGGGGCGCGTGGGCCAATCATAATAACATTCGCCAATGAAGACACCCAGTCCGTATCCTCGGATTCAATCTAATCAGAGCATGGTAAGATGAAGTCAAGAAACAGAGATGAATCACAACAAACACAAAAGCACCAAAATCAGCCTCAGATATTTCCGATGAATCAAAACCGAGCATTTGCAGTTCAGTATAGAAGCTTCGTCTGGCTTGCGGATCTCACATATTTCACAATTAATTGCGGAAAGATTGACCAACTGAAGACTTGAACGGGTGAAACCGCCAACTACACTGCGGAGAGTGAAACATCTAAAATTCAGCGCTGGAATCAAGCAGCCAGCTTCCGAAGTCTAGCAGAATTGTTCTCACGTCGTTAAACTTGCAGCTCTAGTACAGTAAACTATTCACTCGCAATAGAACCTAAGGGTGGGTTTACCCTGATAAAGCAAAAATGCTCTTCCGTAGAAAATCTGGTTGCTTGACTAACGAAGTTAGATAAACGTAGGCTAGTTTTTTATCGTCGGTTCTAGTCTGTGCAGAAATGAGCTGTAGCCGTAAGGATGAATAAGGGGCTAGGAGGGGACAGATATATATAGTGGCTGATGGCCCGAATCGTTTATTTACGGATGACAGTACCAAGCAGACAAGGCTCCATAGAACAGTGAAGAAAACGTAGTTACCTGATTGAAAGGATTCGCGTGGTCGTCCAGATGTTGAAGGTAGGCAATTTTCTCATAGGCAACCGTCTCCCAAGTAGTCTTACTGGCCAGTGCCAAGTAGGTGTGGAACCCCAATAACACGGTCAGCGGGATACCGATTATCATGAGCACAATAATTTCAATAAGAAACAGTACATTCAACCGGAACCAGTCAGTCCAGAGATAGTTCGGCACGATAGACGACCTGAAAGCAAGGGAATGAGACAGGGGATCCTGCTTTAGACCCATTGTGACGGGGAAGTAGGAATATGCAAGCATGGATCATACATATGCAGAGATAATAGGGATGATCGCCGAAGACTACAGTCCTTAGGGATGTTAGAAAGGTTAAGAAAGTACAGTTTTGCACGAGAAGATAGCTAATGTCAATTGAGTGTAACATGCAACAATGGTAACGGCAGTGAAGCGCTATAATAGCTATGTGTTCGTGGAGTAATTCAAACCAACACGAATGAGAATCATGAAAAAGGCAAAACGAAGCGGGCGTATCAGAACAGCACTCGGAAACCAACGTGATACAGTATTTCCGTCAATCCAATAGAGGAAGGCTCGCCTACTACCAACGCGCCTGTTTGCAACGTTTTTGTATATGCGACCACGCCTGAAAGGTAGCTCAATTGCAAGGCTATACGGTTAGCGTGGAGAAGCTTGTTGCTTCGGCTATCACACCTGTCCGCTGCATGGCAACACCTCAAGTGAACGAAATCTGAGATACTATCTGGATTAAAGTTGAAAAGGACCAACTAAAAGGCGGGTGACACCATATTATCCGATACTGTCAACCTCAATTTTCAGTGCTAGCTAGTAGAATATGATTTGCAGCACTGCAAAGACTCACGTGAAATAAAACGACCTCCTCATAATGACTGCATTTCTCAAAATCTATCGAAGACTTACGCGAAATTCCCTCCGAACATGAGATCAGTTCTAGCCAATGCGCTGTAAAATCAGCCTACGTAAAAAAAAACAGTCCTCCAAATATTTGTACTCCTGACTACTAGTACACTCCCACAACCTGCGACACTTTCGTTCTATCTAGCAAACCGATAGCTTCCCCAATCCTTAGAACATTGTCCATATACGGAGAGAATACGGAAACACTCATCCGGACACATCCCGTTCAAAACGACTCAGACAGTGAATGATAGATGCTAAAACACCAATAATTGGCCAGAAATTCACACGATGAGGTTGCCAGTCGGTCAGAAGCACCTTTTGGAACTGTACAGCCCGAACTCTACTGTAAAGACTAACCTACCTTTAAGACCCTAGGAACAAAAGCCACACTGGCAAATAAGTGGTCAGTCGCTCGCTTGCCATTTGACAGTAACACAGAAAATATATTGGTCGTATTGAAGGGGTATTTGTTTCTTGGAGGGAGTACTAAACTAACGAAGAACATATGATAAATTTTAAAAAGGAGTTGGTATTGAAAGCGAATGGAACGAAGCTCCCATACCAAGACAGACAAGAACAATGTCAACTGAAAGAAGCGTGGTATTCCAGCGAAAACGGCATCAACAAACACACTGAAACTGACCCAGTCTACCAACTACTGATGACCAGAGAATTACAGGCTTACAAAGTGCAAATCTACAGACCAAATCAGAGGAGAAACTTGCAGAGAGAAGAGTAGAGTTTGAATTTGGGGGCTAAATCAATTGAGCTGGGCTATGCCTCCGATCAATATATCAAAGGACCGAAATGAACACAGTAAAGCATTGGATTAGCCAACCAAACGCGGAGATCAGTCAGAAGGTGTAGAGACGCAACCAGTAACCAAGATCAAGCAAATCAAGCTACAGCGCGACACACGTTTGGAACGAGCAGATCAAAAACGCAGGAAGAAAACTACCGAAAACTGGAAGGCATTGAGATAAATAATGAAACCGGAGAAAAAAATCATCCAGAATGCGACAGCCTAGGAACAGAACAACCACAACAGCAATGCAACCTACCAGAAGCCGATCGAATGAGATATCCAGACCACAACGTGGCATAGATCGTACACAGACCAATGAATTACGATAAAGCGATTCCTTAATCCGCCACCCACGCTAGCAGATATGAAGTGCTTTCCCGTAGACAATATAAACACAAACAGGTAAGGCGGAAGTACCCACCCAACCAAACACTGATATCTCCATGATCGATGACGAAACGCCCGCAAGTAAATTGCCCAGCTCGATGAAGAGACCAACAGCCGCCCGATCCGCAACCACGCAAGCTACCAACATTTCGATATATTGTCACCCCAATCAGTATTGAACCTGTTGCATGCAACGGAATTCGCCCCCGCTTATACAGCTCGTGCGCGATAGCCCTTATGCGGATTATCCTTCTTGCTCCCTATGCCAACTTACTTGTCGAACCAAGCCAACTGTAAGAATCCATTCGTAATTCATCAGTACTATTCGATTGCTGAGCTACACGATTTGGGTAAAATAGACGGGAACTTGAACCCAGTTAGTTCAAGGGAAAATGCGGTCCAATATCATCCCCATAATCCGTGAAAAAAAAACTGAAATCCAGAAAATCTAGGTAAGCAGACAGCTCGATCATGGCTGAGCGGAGCATGTTTCTGTATCAGTTGTTGCAGTGCGTATTGCAGGGTGAGTGGCAGGGCTACAGAGTACGTAAGCATAACAGGATATAGGGAAATACATGATTAATGTGCATAGGTACACTGTGTGGGATGGAATTAGTATGGTGTTACAGTATTGAATCATAGAATCAGGCAGTCTATAGGGCACTACATAGCGGATAGTATTTCACTTACAAGGAGTCATACATCATTGTACCTAGATAGTTGTCACCAGAGCAGAGTGGATCAATTCGTATGCGCATAAGAAAATCGACATACCATTCAATTTGCTCTAGACAGGCCCATATAAATTTCCTGATAGAGTTGTTGAGTATACGCTTGTGGTTGCTGATGTATCCGAAAAAATCAAAGAACGCTAGACGTAAAACGGCCTCAGCTGTCCAAGAGAGTGGCACCTTTACGAGACACTAAAGTAACTGAGTCCAACGGGCACTAGAAAGCGGTCGCGACAATAGGCTTACATCGAATTAAATTGCTGCGCACGGTCTGGTTCGAAACAGACAAGATAAATCAAAGATTGGAAAAATTATATATTAACTACTCATGAACTCGAACAAGCGTGAGTTGTGGGAAAAAAACTAGAACAGGATTCAACCCACCAAGCGAGATACATAGTCCACCAGAGAATCAACATTTGAAGCGTCAAAAAGACGACAAAAGCCGAGTGATTTCGCTCTCCAACGCAGTTGGCCAGCCATGGACAGTGATGATCGAATTTTATCACGCAGCGGTTACATTCTGGACAGTGACGACAACGGAGCGGTTGCTGGGCGATAGGCAGTAGAAAATGAGATATTTAAAACCTCTCGAGTTAAACGGAAACGTCAACAGTGTAAAGGGACGATAGAACCGTTCAGAAAATGACTTTCTAAAAACTCCTATTTACTGCTAATGAGTTTATCAATCCCATGGATCATGGCAGCAGCATGCCCATGAAAGCTGCCAGGAGAAAAGACAATGAGCAACTGACAAGTGTAAAGTACCTCAGTGGCAAAATACAGTTTTCGCAGTCCCCTAGACCATGGTGATACAGTGTTACACACAGGATGTGCCTTCCACTGTTCACATCACTAGTAAAAACCAGCAAGTTGCGGATGAAATGGTCCAGTTTGGTCACAGGTCCCTTCTGCAACCACGCGCAGAAAGCGACATCCATGAGGTAGAAGTGTCACCGATTGCCCCTCATGCCGAATACGTATACTATACAATACCACTATTATCACTATATACGTTTATACCCCACATACAGCACTCCAAGCATTAAGACATGAACAGGTTTGGAGGCTGCTGGGAGAGACCATCAATATATCCGTAAAAACGAGTGACTCACTTCTAAAAGACAATGCTTGCAAAATCGGACAGGGACAGATAAGTTCAGAACAAAATCCTCATAGGTCGTAGCCGCATTCGAAGTCGACAGGAACCAACCGGAAACCGGGCAAGTGAGACAGCTTCGAACCAAATTCTTCAAATCCCGTTGCAGTGAAAGTACTGGTGCCGCTACCTGCATATCTACCTCGGGGACAACTACAGGGAAAGACTCCACACTCTTAGAAAGGCTATCTCTCCCCGAGCTCCTCTTTTCCATGGTGCAACATTCAGCTCCAGAGTTGTGCTCACCGGGAAACGGTTTATCACTGATGACTTCATCACCATCACAGTCAGAAAGGTTGCCTCGACGGTGCCGAAATAATCTTGCCTGTGGATGAGAACATAGGTCGAAAATTGAAAGAGTCAGAAGTTATTGAAACAAACGTTAACCAGACCATAACACTAGTTACTTAACTCCTCCCTCGTCCTGGAAAAGTAACTTAAGAAGCTGCAACCGTTTATCGTCAGTCATGTGACGCTGTCAAAAAGTGAAAATGCTCACTTGAACTTTTGTAATCAACAGCCTCGGGCTTCGTGAACTGTGAGTAGTGTCTGTTCTAGGAAGGAATGCACCTGGTCACAAGAAATTGGAAGCGACCAGCTCTGCGTTATAACAGCAGTATGTACATCCATGCTAGGAAAAACATGTTTAACACCGTCCTTCTGTTCACTGAAGGTTGGTAGTTTTCCAGCTGTTGGGGAACATCATTGTGAACTGTAAATTTGGATCATTCATTCCTCTTCCAGTCGATCGCGTCAACATCATTCAACCGCAGGACATCTGTCACCGAAAGAAACCTATGGACCAAAAATCCAATATATTCAGCTGCCAGAAGACAAACTGGAGGAAAATTGAGGAGCTCGATGAAATTCTGGCAGCCCAGAAACACCACTGTTCACACCTGCACAATCGGGCGGAAAACGCTGATTTAAACAATGTAGCCCACTTGCCCGGACAGTGAAGACTCACTTGCCTACCGTGGAGGTCCTGAGGTCCATTAGAAAACTACGAAAATAAGAGAACAGCGGGACCGGACGACATATTTTCAGAACTGTTTAGGCTCGGGGGATCAACAGTCCAGAAAAATTGTCGACGTCCTATGTACAATTTGAGGGATAAAAGTTCCGTAATATTTCAAGGATGTGATGATAATTGTTCCATAAAAAGGAAAAGAAAATTGACGGGAGACGGATAATTATCCCAGAACCAGTCCCCTATGCACGCTGTTCCATTCGCAGCGCTTTCGGGACAAAACTGCGCGTGAGCCCAGTGTCCGTATGCTGCCGTTTGCAGACGACTTTCTTATCTTCACAATCTGGAGCGGGATTACAGCGACGGACTACGAGGTTGGATTCAGCGGTGCTTGGATATAAATCTTTCTGAAACTTGCCATTTGTCAGTCTGTATGAGGGATTCAACGTAAGACAGCGTGTATTCTGCCAAGTTTGTAGGATGGTGTGCTGCACGAAATTCTACCATCAACAGACCTGACTCTTGACAACGAAATATACGCACGAATTGTAAAAGACAGCATGGTACTTGTTAGTCTTAAGAAACACGCTTGGAGCAATTAGCGCACAGGCACCAAGCTTTCGGTGTACTAAGCTGTTGAACTCTCTTCACTACTGTACGGCAGCGAAACTTAGATTCTACCCTGAAAGGCAAGCACCGTCTGCGAAAAATCCTTCAGATCAAATGGACTGACATAAAGTAGAACACCAAAGTCCTTCGAACAGCAAACGCTTTAGAACTGAATGCAGTCTGATGCGAAAGCAGTTCCGCTGATTAGGTCCCTTAGAAGGAATGGCCAAAACTAGCATCTTGAAACAACTTGCCCGCGGTCAGCCGAGGAACGAAGTTCGAAATCGGAGACACCTTAAATTGCGCTACTGGGACAGCCTTCAAGTAGGTCTGAAAAACTGTAGCTTCGGTTTTAGGTGATTGCGAAAACCTGGCCTTTGCTATTTCACCATGTTTAAACCGACTGGTGGCTTGTGCCAGGAATCTGCACGCCCGCCCACCGATCTTGTTCTCTCGAATTTATATCGGCGCCAACGGCTTGCGCGTAGCACCACGTTCGGCCCCGCTCGAACCACCCGTGGCCTCTTACTATCCACATGCGTCCAGTGGCTTGACCGCTGTTGATCAGTAAATCCGATTCGGATATCAGGCATTCAGTAACGTAGAGATCATCGGAAAGCTTAAAAGCAACCTTTTCTGAGCTCCTTGTGGGCATTCCTCTCGTTGGTTATTGCAGATTAACTACCGCAATCCACGTGAAATGCCCTAAAATGTACCGAATGTGAGCGTTCACGTTCCATATCGTCAACCCATTTGGTAGCAGTGATGTATAATGATTTTTCCTTGAAAAAATTGCCAAAATCAAAGGTTTCGCGATGTGCCTCGCGGTTCGGCATGCGCTTCACACCCGCAAAGTGTAAAAAGTGCTGCTGCAAGATTGGTTGGGCCCGAACCCTAGCCTCATGCTTGCGGATGAACCGATTGAGGTAGTAGACAAATTTGTTTGC